GAAAGCATAATTATCAGGATGACAAACTTTGCTTAGCAGCAGCACATACTTGGATGCTTCACCCAATTTATGTGATTCAGCCCATAGACTGCCTTGCACAGCTCTAGTTAACTTCAACCAATGCAATGGCCTGAGTTTCTTGGTCTGATTACTCCTTGAACTAATTGTATGTGACAACATTTTGTGCGAGCTTGTGGAAGAACCTAATTGTGGTGTGGAAGAACCTAATTGTGGTGCTGGAGGAGCTGTAGATCCATTAATACCTGCAAAACCTGTATTTGAGAACCCCTTGCCAGTAGAAACAGGAGGAGGTGGGGCAGAAGGAACTTGGGAAGAATTGGATAACATGATAGGGGCAGCTGGGGGTGGGGATGGTCGTGTAGATACTGAAGCTTTAGGGCTTGCAGCTTGCCCAGATTGCCCATGATGAAGAGGAGGTGGGGGAGGTGGAGGAGGACCAGCTTTAACAGCTGAATTCTCCTTCAACAGTGGGGTTGGTGGAGAAGGTGGAGGGGATGCAGCTCTAACAGCTGAATTCTCCTTCAAAGGTGGGGCTGGAGCAGGTGGAGAAGCTGCATGACATCCATCTCTAACAGCTGGATCCTTCAAAGGTGACATTGGTGGAGAAGGTTGACTTGCACCAAGAGGTTCACAACTAACAGTTTGATTCTCATTCAGCATTGATGTTTGAGGAGGAGGTGGAGTATGATGATATGTTGAAAGTGCAGGAGGTTCAACCTTGGTAGCTGGATTCTTTGGGGTAGATGAAGAATAAGATGGTTGTGATGCTGGAAGAAGAGAGCCTGGTGATGGTGCCGGCGGAGAATGGAGAGCTCTATTTGCACTGGAAGTCAGAGTTGGAGGAGGATGTGGAGTTGTTGGTGGCGAGACAAAAACGTTTTCAGTTTCAAGAGCTTCAGATGACACAAGGTCATATGGAAGAGGCTTGACAATAGGAACTAGTGGTACACTGTGATGAATCGACACAAAAGTATCTTGCCAATAACTCCTTTTCACTGGAGGACACTGATTCTTCTGTTGGTGTATGGCATTGAATTGACTAGGTGGTTGATGGGAAAACTGGGAGTCTTGGGGCCCAACCTGTGTGCCGGCATCAGTCTTGGGAGATAATGGTCCTTCTGAGGGCACCAGTTGTATCTGTAGACCCCAACATGTGGAGCTGTTTGGGCTCGTGGACAATGATAAAACACGGTTCATTTCCTCCTGAGTCTTTCTAGGACTTGCTACCCACATTCGAGGGCTGATTGATTCATTGTCTGAACTTTCATGGACAATGTTTGATGCACCTATTTGTTGAAGCACATTACGTGCAATATCTGCCCTGTGATCTGACCAGTCAACATGGCTAAAGATTTTATGAACTTTGGCAAATGCTTCCATTGGAAGGCCATCCTTCTTCTCAAAGCAAGGGAAATCCATTGCAATAATGGAAGAAGCTGCATCCATCTCTGAGAAAATAATCTACACTCAGAGACAAACTTTTCATTAAAAGAAAAGCACCACAAAACCATAATGTCAAATAACATAAGGAACAGATGACTATCTCTGCTCTGAAGTCTTTGGGAAAATGATCCTTGGCATCCCACAATATATCAATGTCATCAAGGTTTAGGATTAAAATGCTTGATCTAATAAAAGCAGTATTAAACACCGCCCGGAACATCATTTCTTCTCTTTCCATGTCATCATTCAAGCTGATGCACTCAATTACAATATCCCCTTGAATATGACAATTGATGTCAATTTTAACTAGCTAGCTTTCTTTCTGCAAGGAAATATTTGATTCAGACAAATCCACAATAGCACATGCAAGATTTGGTGATTAATTGAAACATTGTGTTTAAATATGTCTGAGCACGAAGTGTAGACAATTCTACTCAAAAGAAAAAAAAAAAAAAGGGAGGAAGAAGAAGAAGAAAAACTTTCCAACAATTCAACTATGTTGATGCATTACAGTAAAAAATTTAGACCTTTCATAAGAAACCCATACATCCTGTTAACAATCTACCAGAGCAGACCTCTTTCAACTCGTTCACACTCGTTATGAGGCTATGTTGGTATTTACATGTTAGATTTTAACTTCATAGAAAGTTAGAAACCTCCTACTACCACAATGGAAAAGTCAAAAAGAAAAAACCTTGGTTCTTTTTTGAGAAAAATAGAAGAAAAGAAAAGAACTCCTCTCTGAAAAAAATGACATGATCAGCAACCCAAAGATTGAAGAACTCTTAGAAACCAACAATGATAGATGCATGGTTTTTTCTAGCCTATCAAGGTGTATGAAGAGCATCCAAATTCCCTTCCTCTACACAATGGGAGATGGGTGAGAGAAACTAATACATAAGATGAGAATATATGAAATCACCTGCTTGTAGTGCTGGGCAGCTTTACTTCTCTTTGGAGTTGAGTACAAAACTCTAGCAGTTCGATCATTAACAAGAAAAGGATCCTGCCCACATATCCGAAATATTGGACGACATCCCCCCTCTCCATCAAAATTAGGGATATATCTAAGGATGATGCAATCCAAAGTAAGAGCTCGACCAAAAGGAGGCCATTCTGAGGTTACATTCCTCCTTGAGACATACTGCAGATACCTCAACTGAGAAGGGATTGGATTGAGGGGTGACCGCAAGTGCAAAAGCTCACGGGGAGCTTGCTTGTAAATCATGTCCAACGTCTTCTGTTCTCCACTATGCTGTTTCCTATAAATCAACAGTGCAGCAAGCATGAAAGCCAAGACTGGCCAACCACCACGCTCACAATGCATTAGTAGCAAATTTTGCTGCCCAAGTTGGAGCCAACTTTCACACGACCTCAGAAAATGGTGGAGCAACTCCATTGCGAGCAAAGGGCACCCCTCGTATTGCCGAGGGTAATCCATTATCGTCATATCATGCTCAGATAACATGCTGGCCATCTGGCTCTTTCCGTCTCCTTCACGGAAATTGAACACCAAGAATAATGCATCAAGGAACTGGTCTTGAAGTTGACTAAGTATTCCTCTTATGTAAACTTTATAGTTTTCTTCTTCCCAAGCATCGGTAGTAAAGCAGGAATTGAAGACTGTATCATACAATGCACCAAAAGAAAGCCATATCACTTTGAAAGCAACAGTTTATCCAAGTCAATTAAACTCTAGTTACACATTCAACCAAATGAGATGCTTAATGGCCAAGAAGAAAAACATCTTAAGCATAAGAAATTGGATGTAGCATGTTTCCGCTGCCCAAATTACTAAAATTAACATACTTCGAAATTTAACAGAACCATTAAAACTGCTGCATTTCATTTCTTTCAATGTAGATTGGAGAAGATATGCTAAAAAAACCATCAAGAAAACAATGTGCTTATTCTGCTAAAGTAAACCAATCCAGAACAATCCAAATAAACCAAATTAAGGTCACTTTTCTTGTTTCTTTTGTTCTTAAATACCTAAAATAGAACTCAACAACTTGGAATTGGCTTCTCTACATCTTCTATGCAATCCAACAAAGCTCATATGCTGACAGAACGGTACCATGGAAATTCATACTAATCTAAAAACTCATATTTACTCAAAATCAAATAAAAATGTCAACTTTTACAGTCCCAATGAACGTAATTCGAGCAATGAAGAAGAACGTACATAAGAAAAAGACGCACCATAAACTCGCTCACAAATCTCGAGAAGACCGTCCGTTGGTTTCCTGTAGAACAGTTTCCTCAACAATGCCATTTCTCTACTCCAAATTCTGTAAAACTCAAAACCCAAAAACCCGGTGCCAGGATAAGTAATCAGATTCCAACCCGAAGCGTAATCCTACCTCGGAACAAGCACTTTGGTGGTACCCAATTCCCAATAATTAACCGAGCTTCGCTCCCGATTGAAGGTTCAAAAGAGTTTAAATTTCTTTTCTCTTTTTAAATTTTGTCTGAAAAGATTGAATCAGCTCGTTCTAATCTTGCGGTCGGGTATCAGAAGAAATGAAAGGAAAAGTGGGATTCGAGGAAAAAGACGAAAAATTGATGAGCTTCTTGTTTTGTTGAGCTGGGTGCGTACGTGGTGCGCCGTAAAGCTCACAGTTGATATTGAATCGTCCGTCGTCACCTACCGGCCCGGCTTCCGTCTGACGTGGACGCAACCACCAGCCGACACGTACATTCCATTCATTGGCATTTCCGTTACCATTCTGGTTCCTGTTTCTTCCATTTTTGCGAATCTGTTTCACTGGGATTGAACCAATCTGTTGTTTTCTATTTGATCGGAAAAAAAAATTCCGAACAACATCTTCGGAATCTTGTTAATGGGTAGTTAAATTAACTCCTTATATTTGTCGAATGTCAGTCAAAATCGAAACTTTAACCCCTTGTTTGGATTGAGGAAGTTAGAGGGGAAGGAGAGGAGAGTGAGGGAGAGAGAGAGCAACTTTTTGTGCTTGGGTAAACCATTTTAATGGAGGGAGAGGGAGCCCCCTCTCCTCCTCTGTTTTCAATCCTTCCGATTTGGAAGGATTGGAACAGAGTTCATTATTTAACTTATTTTTGTTTTTATTTTTTT